TGTGTTCCTTTTGACCATTTGTTCGTCGCAATATACCCAGTTTAAGTAAATTTTCTGTTACAAGTCTGCTTATTCGTTGTTAGCAGAACTTTAATTTTCTATTCCATTTCAGGCCAGGATAACCTGTGTAGCCGACCCCCGCAATCTGCAGCGCAGCATACTTCCCCCAGGTTGGGTCCAGGTCCACAGCCTGTCCTCTCGCCCTCACCATCAGCAGCTTCTCGAAGACGCATACCGAGACCTCATTGGTTGACCACGGACACCTCACGGCTCGCCCATTGGACCGCAGGCTCCCCTCGTTCCCGGGTGGCTGGCACAGCTCAGACCCACTTAAGCTCCCGCACCCGGGCCGAGTTCGGCACTCACGATCTTCCAGCAGAGCAAGACAGCATGCAGCAACTTGGCCTACCCAGGCCTTAGCCGACGGGTGAGCCGCCCCGGCTCTCCCCGGCGATCTCCAGCACACCAACCATACCTGTGGGCACTCACACCCACACACAAAACCTCCTTAAAGAGATGATTGACACCAGTCTATGGCGGATACCAATCCATTGACATACCTGCTTGGAACCATGAGAAATACATTTGCCATGCGTGATAACATGGGAAGAAATATGCATGCCGACAGAGAAAAAGTAGCCTGTGCCTACATTCTGAGGTGGAGCCTGCGCCTGAGCCAACATTCTTATCCTGCTCCTGAGCCTGAGCCTACATTCTTATCCTGCTCCTGAGCCTGAGCCTACATTCTTATCCTGCTCCTGAGCCTGCGCCTACATTCTTATCCTGAGCCTGCGCCTACATTCTTATCCTGCTCCTGAGCCTGAGCCTACATTCTTATCCTGAGCCTGCGCCTACATTCTTATCCTGCTCCTGAGCCTGAACCTGCGCCTGCGCCTACTTTCTTATCCTGCTCCTGAGCCTGAGCCTGCGCCTGCGCCTACTTTCTTATCCTGCTCCTGAGCCTGCGCCTGCGCCTACTTTCTTATCCTGCTCCTGAGCCTGAGCCTGAGCCTGAGCCTGCGCCTACTTTCTTATCCTGCTCCTGAGCCTGAGCCTGCGCCTGCGCCTACTTTCTTATCCTGCTCCTGAGCCTGCGCCTACTTTCTTATCCTGCTCCTGAGCCTGCGCCTACTTTCTTATCCTGCTCCTGAGCCTGCGCCTGTGCCTGTCCTACTTTCTTATCCTGCTCCTGAGCCTGAGCCTGAGCCTGAGCCTGTGCCTACTTTCTTATCCTGCTCCTGAGCCTGAGCCTGCGCCTACTTTCTTATCCTGCTCCTGAGCCTGAGCCTGCGCCTGCGCCTACTTTCTTATCCTGCTCCTGAGCCTGAGCCTGCTCCTGCGCCTACTTTCTTATCCTGCTCCTGAGCCTGAGCCTGCGCCTGCGCCTACTTTCTTATCCTGCTCCTGAGCCTGAGCCTGCGCCTGCGCCTACTTTTTATCCTGCTCCTGAGCCTGAGCCTGCGCCTGCGCCTTTCTTATCCTGCTCCTGAGCCTGAGCCTGCGCCTACTTTCTTATCATGCTCCTGAGCCTGAGCCTGCGCCTGCGCCTACTTTCTTATCATGCTCCTGAGCCTGAGCCTGCGCCTGCGCCTACTTTCTTTATCATGCTCCTGAGCCTGAGCCTGCGCCTGCCTACCTACTTTCTTATCTGCTCCTGAGCCTGAGCCTGCGCCTGCGCCTACTTTCTTATCCTGCTCCTGAGCCTGAGCCTGCTCCTGCGCTACTTTCTTATCCTGCTCCTGAGCCTGAGCCTGCTCCTGCGCCTACTTTCTTATCCTGCTCCTGAGCCTGAGCCTGCGCCTGCGCCTACTTTCTTATCCTGCTCCTGAGCCTGAGCCTGCGCCTGCGCCTACTTTCTTATCCTGCTCCTGAGCCTGGCCTGCGCCTGCGCCTACTTTCTTTCCTGCTCCTGCCTGAGCCTGCGCCTGCGCCTACTTTCTTATCCTGCTCCTGAGCCTGAGCCTGTGCCTGCGCCTACTTTCTTATCCTGCTCCTGAGCCTGGCCTGCGCCTACTTTCTTATCCTGCTCCTGAGCCTGAGCCTGTGCCTGCGCCTACTTTCTTATCCTGCTCCTGAGCCTGCGCCTGCGCCTACTTTCTTATCCTGCTCCTGAGCCTGAGCTGCGCCTGCGCCTGCGCCTACTTTCTTATCCTGCTCCTGAGCCTGCACCTGCGCCTACTTTCTCATCCTGCTCCTGATCCTGATCCTGCGCCTGCGCCTACTTTCTTGTCCTGCTCCTGCGCCTGCGCCTACTTTCTTGTCCTGCTCCTGTGCCTGCGCCTGCACCTACTTTCTTGTCCTGCTCCTGAGCCTGAGCCTGCGCCTGCGCCTGCACCTACTTTCTTGTCCTGTGCTCCTGCTGCACCTACTTTCTTGACCTGCTCCTGTGCCTGCGCCTGCACCTACTTTCTTATCCTGCTCCTGAGCCTGAGCCTGCGCCTGCGCCTACTTTCTTATCCTGCTCCTGAGCCTGAGCCTGGCCTGCGCCTGCGCCTACTTTCTTATCCTGCTCCTGAGCCTGAGCCTGCGCCTGCGCCTGCGCCTGCGCCTACTTATCCTGCTCCTGAGCCTGCGCCTACTTTTTATCCTGCTCCTGTGCCTGCGCCTACTTTCTTATCCTGCTCCTGTGCCTGCGCCTACTTTCTTATCCTGCTCCTGTGCCTGCGCCTACTTTCTTATCCTGCTCCTGAGCCTGAGCCTGCGCCTGCGCCTACTTTCTTATCCTGCTCCTGAGCCTGAGCCTGAGCCTGCGCCTGCGCCTACTTTCTTATCCTGCTCCTGAGCCTGAGCCTGCGCCTGCGCTTGCGCCTGCGCCTACTTTCTGCTCCTGAGCCTGCGCCTACTTTCTATCCTGCTCCTGTGCCTGCGCCTACTTTCTTTTATCCTGCTCCTGTGCCTGCGCCTACTTTCTTATCCTGCTGTGTGCTGCGCCTACTTTCTTATCCTGCTCCTGAGGCCTGCGCCTACTTTCTTATCCTGCTCCTGCTCTGAGCCTGCGCCTGCGCCTACTTTCTTGTCCTGCTCCTGCTCCTGAGCCTGCGCCTGCGCCTACTTTCTTATCCTGCTCCTGAGCCTGCGCCTGCACCTACTTTATCCTGCTCCTGTGCCTGCGCCTGCGCCTACTTTTCTTATCCTGCTCTGAGCCTGAGCCTGCGCCTGCGCCTACTTTCTTATCCTGCTCCTGAGCCTGCGCCTACTTTCTTATCCTGCTCCTGAGCCTGCGCCTGCGCCTACTTTCTCATCCTGCGCCTGAGCCTGCGCCTACTTCTTATCCTGCGCCTGAGCCTGAGCCTGCGCCTACTTTCTTATCCTGAGCTTATATTCTTATGCTATTAAAATTAAACTCCATGCAAATATATGTATTAAAGTTTATTATCCTGTAGAGTTATGCAATTACATAATGTCCGAATTTAATTATCTGAAGCGTGTTATTAAAGCCTTGCATCAACAGTAGGTAAATTTCATTAGGAAAATTTATACCCAAAACCCAATATCAAGTAGTTTAAAAATTAGTGTTACAGGAAATGGGGATTACCTCCCGTTTCAGTTGACGTGCAGTGAAAAGCAAAATGTTGCTAATATTCATTTTCAATGCTACATGGCACAGGTTTTATTCTTGCTTATAAATGCATTTCCGAAATTTGAATTATGACAATTGTTTAATACTTTTACATATGAAGCATTTCCTTGTACATCGGGTGCATGTACAGAATAAGCAGATATGAATAAATCAATGAAATTGAAATGGTAGATGGGGTATTGAAGTAATCGAGTAATGTAGAAGTTGTAAAATGCAGACAAAAGGTTACCGATATATGAAACTATCAATGCATTATGAAGGAGAGTTGGCGATATCATGGAAGGACTTACTGTAGGAAGAAGTAAGGATTCATGTTATAAACCACTCAAGCTAATGTTAAAAATAGTGTTCACATTTGAAGTAAAGGTGAATTACCTCATTATTTGGCCTAATACAAATATGTAGGTGGCGCTGGGAAGTTTGGGGGCCTTTGTATTCATAGTACATTTCATCCCAGGTATGCAAGGATTCACCTGTGTCTTTCAAAAGGAGTACATGCAGTAGCTTCAAGCATTATGTTGCCATTCTAAAATAGCATTTAAGGTGATCTTGTATACACCTACAGTCTATTGCTTATACTATATACCTTTCGCCATTTTAATCTGCTCATACATACTCCGCCTTTTAGGCATGGTAATTTTAAAGGCGAGTGTATACGGTTATATAAACCTGTATAAAAAAAAACATACTGCCGTTTCATTTGTTTATATCTGGAACCCACAAGCCCTTGTATACCAGAGAAATCACTATTACAATCTAAATCTGTATACATTCTTTAATCAGGATTTCTATACACCTCCGTTTAGGAGGATTCTTATTTGCGCTTACCTTCCCTTATCATTCGGAGAGGAATAGAGAATATGTTCGGGTGTATAGGCCTGCTTTTGCATACATCAGCAATGCCTACGTCCCGTCATTGATGTAATCACGTGGAAAGTAAAAAATCCGCCGTTTAAAAAAGAAAATCAATATCGCAACCACTAAACATGGATGCAAAATTATGGCGGATATAATGCCAATACCACCAAGCAAACTTTCCCTAGCTTGATCTGGACATCAAATATTCCTTTGCCTCGTCTGACTAGGCCTCAAATTCCAACTCTTAAACCCCTAAATCATGATTTCTGTCGGTATGTTTAATAATCATGCCTTGTCAAGGTATTAAGTGGCCTATTTGACGAAATTATGACGAGGCTTGGGCAAACCAATAGTTATCTTGATACATAATCAAGGATTATACAATGAGGTAGTTCTGGTCCACCCTCTTTCATGGATAAGGTGGTATAGGATGCAAAAGAGACTCCAGATGTTCTTAGTCACCTAAGGTAGGGTGTACACCTGTACAATTAAAAGTAGCTTTAATTTAAAATTATTTAATATAAAAATACAAGACTAGGGTCTCTCAATAAGAAGTGATCTTCAAGACGTGTCGATCCGTGTGCAAGACCATCTAGTCCGTTTACTCGAAATTAATTTAAGAGCTCAGAACCTGATTCTGTAGGTTTGCAGGCAAGTCATTGAACATCGCCTGGGGTACACCCTCTGTGGGAGGAAGAGGATTTTAGTACATGCTTATTCCAGGCAGAATATGTCCAAAGTATTTTAAACAAAGTGCTTGGCAAGTTAAGAGGGCAGACTTGTGCGCATCTAAAGAGGTAGGTCATAACCCTCTAGCCAACCCTTTAGGCAGCATACAAGTAGTAGACCAAGTTTCCTAACAGCCAAATCAGTTATACCCATTACCTATGCTAGAGGCTCCCACATGGAGGGGCAGCCCAATTTATTGGTAGTCTTACCTCCACATTTATACTCCATGTTGGACCATATAATTTCTTCCTGGGAGAAGCAGAAGAGTCCCAGTCTGCCTCCTTTCAGGGTGCTGTCATAAATGTTTCCAGAGTCCATCACCTGGTTATTTCCCTGGTACAAGTAGAACCTTATGGTTCCAATATCAGGCCGGTGGTGAAGCAGCCAGCGGTAGGCAACCTTGGGTTTCCATCCAAGGCTGCCATCATGCCAGAGCAATTGTGCCTGAAAGCCAACCACCACACCATTAAACCAGGATGGTTACTCCCGACATGCTAGCTATATCGTGAGCTAGTTGTATGGCTGAACAAATCTTGCATGCCTTTGGTTACCCAAAGTATAGCTACCTGGTTTGGTGTAGACCCAGTGAACCACAAGGCATCCCTAAGTTTCGTGCCAGGGCCCGTGTTAGAGTTTACTAGCTTCAGAGTAACGCCTCTCTCGGCCTTGTTGAACCAGTTTTGTGGTGCTTTTTTCCAACTCACAACATAGAACTTGGCATTGCTTTGGTAACTGTTGGAGGATAAAAATATGTGAGGGCCAATCTTTCATTGGCAATTTAACATTTCAGTGGATTAACAATACTTACCCGAATATAAAGCCAACAAAATCGTCATCACTCGTGTCTTCAATGAAGAAGGTCCCCTCAAAGTCGACATCGCCCAGAACGTGGTCACCTGCAGTTACATTACAATTATTTTATGCCACATTTATGCAGACCCATTTAGACGTCTGGCATTTCAAACCTTTCCATCATACATACCCACTGCTATAGCTGGGTCAGAGTTCACGGTCTGATGAATTTCTGCACCGTTGTCATAGACGACCCATACCGGAGGAGTAGATGCCGTTTGCGGGTCTAGTGCCACCATTTGCAGATGTCTGCCAAGTTTAAAGATGTTCAAGTGGCTGCCCTAGTTGTATTGGGGCTTCCTTCAAAAACTCGCTAAGCTGACCTACCTGAAGTCGGTGCTGTGCACATTAGGGTTATAAATGCAGTTGTCATCCGGATCTAAGACCTTGTCACCATCCTTGTCATCACTGCAGGCATCACCAAAACCATCCCCGTCGGTATCCTTCTGCTGCTTATTTGGGATTAGTTCGCAGTTGTCATTCTTGTCAAGTACACCATCATTGTCATTGTCTGTATCACATGCATCACCTTTACCATCACCATCTACGTCTTGCTGGTCACTATTGGCCACATTTGGACAGTTGTCCACACTGTCCTCCACACCATCACTGCAACAGAAGGCAGAAGTTGTATTGGCCATCATTAGATTTACATTTGCCAGGTTAAACAATTAAAGCAATTCATCAATCCATACCTGTCAGTGTCCACGTCATCATCACAGGCATTCCCTAGGAGATCTTCATCCTTATCACTTTGCCCTTGGTTGGCGTGCTGAGGGCAGTTGTCGCAAGCATCTCCAAATACCATCTCCATCACTGTCAGCTTGGTTGCCAATTAGCTACCTTAGGACAATTGTCTGCGACCATTTAGCAATCCTGAGGGAAAACAGGTGGGACATGGAAGACTCTTGGCCAAGACGAAAGGGGAGTGGAAAGCCATCAGTCAAGAATTAAAGTAACAAGCATACCATCATTATCAATATCGTGTGTCGCATTTGTCCGCCTTTTCCGTCCCCATCAATATCGCTTTGGTTGGGGTTGGAGTCATCAGGGCAGTTGGTCAACATTTATTTCCCGTTACCTAATCCTTGTCGCTTTGGCTCAGGTGCTATCAGGGGACAGTTATCCTGGAATGCAGGAGCAAATGGAATGTTCATGGTGGACAAGTGTTGGCATACAAGATCCTAGCATTCCCAGTTAGTCTTTCATACCTTATTATTGTCATGTCCATCTCCATCAGCATCATTATCACAAGCATCGCCAATCTTATCACCATCGGCATCCTCTTGTCCGGAGTTGGGCCTATTGACGCAGTTATCCTTACGGCAGTACTTGCTTGAACAGCTCAGTTCAGTGTCTGGGTAGCCATCAAGGTCAGAGTCCGGAGCACACTCTGCACCTTCACCAGCATAACCAACAGGGCACTGGGAAGTGGAGAAAGACATGTTAATTATTCAGGAATTAAAGTTACTAGGTTAGTTGGTTATGAATTAACACCTAAATCCCAACTATCATATAATACTTTACCTTGAGGGGCTGGCACACTTTTCCATCACCTGTATAACCAGCAAGGCAAGAACAAGTTCTGCTGCCAGCAGTGTGTTGTACACTTAGCTTTAGCATGGCACCCACCATTAGCTACCAAACACTCATCCCATCTGGAGGATGAAATTGGTAGCCGTTTACTAAATATAGTCTAGTCCTGACTTTGGAGCAAGTCATAAAACCCACTTACGAGTTTACAATTGCTAAGGTATCGCCTGTGCAAACTAGCCATCCCCAGTGAAACCCATTTTACAGGTGCAGTCACGGCTGCCTGGAGTATAAGCTGCAACGGGCATTTGCATCACAGCCACCGTTGGCAACTAAACATTCATCCGGTCTCAGAGAATTAACCATAAAAATAATGTTGACTTGTATAGTATACTAAACAATATCCCAATAATATTTCTTGGGCAATTTAATTATATTACAAAGAGGGGAGTTGAAAAGAATCGAGGTGCAACCTAGTGTTTTTGGTCATGTTCAGAGCACGAGAGCGGGATGCCTAAAATATTCGTGCGATTACTCACCAGTACACTGAAGTCCATCACCAGTGTATCCAGGATGACATGTGCAAGTTCTGCCACCAACATCATTTTTACAGTCCGCATTAGCATGGCATCCACCATTAGCCACCAGACACTCGTCAACGTCTGCAATGCATTTCAGAAGGTAGGACCCACATATAAAATTTAACAATCAAGGGAATTTAATGCTTAGAATTTTTTTACATTTTCCTTTATACTCGCCTGTGCAAACTAGGCCATCCCCCAAGTGAATCCCTGATTTACAGGTGCAGTCACGGCTGCCTGGAGTATTGCTGCAACGGGCATTTGCATCACAGCCACCGTTGGCCACCAGACACTCATCCACATCTAGGAGAAAATTTATTAACACAAGATACTTGTAAATTATTATCATTTATAGTACAGAGAAATGTTACCCACCAGTGCAAGTAATGCCGTTTCCAGAGAACCCAGGCAGACAGGTGCAGGTTCTTCCACCATTGGTGTTTTGACATACAGCATTTACATCACAGCCTCCATTGTTTACAAGGCACTCGTCGACGTCTGTGGTAGAGACAAGGGTTAAGCTAACATTTTTATCTTATTGTTGCATACCAAGTGGCCATATATCGTTTATAGTTACCAGAACAAGTAAAGCCATCCCCTGTGAACCCTGGTGCACAAGTGCAGTCACGGCTGCCTGGAGTATTGCTACACAAAGCATTAGCACCACATCCACCATTGGCAACCAAGCACTCGTCAACATCTGTAGGTACAAGACCAGTCATTAACCAACCTCAATTACTTGAAGGCAAAAAAGCATCCGCTTTTGCAAGCACTCACCAATGCAGGTGAAGCCGTCACCAGTGTATCCTGCTAAGCAACTGCACAACTGGAAACTGCAAACTGCCATCAGAGTTTGTACACGTGGCACTTGCAGAACATCCGCCGTTGGCCACAGCACATTCATCAACATCTGGGGATATAGTGCAAGGAATGTATTGTGCGGTGTGTACTTAGCTATATAAAATTTGCCAAGATTTTATTTGTGCAAACTCACCTATACATGTATATCCATCACCACTGTACCC